TGTTAAATGATATCGTTCATTTAATGTCTTGCAAAGTGAACTAAACGTACAATACTTGCATAAGCAATAATTTCGCCAAGGTCGCTTGTGGGCGAGGAGCTAGAATTTTTCAAAACTGACATTTTCGTATTGATATATCAAATGTAGCGCCTCGCCCGCAAGCGACCTCGGCGATGTTAAATGATATCGTTCATTTAATGTCTTGCAAAGTGAACTAAACGTACAATACTTGCATAAGCAACCATTTCGCCAAGGTAGCTTGTGGGCGAGGAGCTAGAATTTTTCAAAACTGACGTTTTCGTGTTGATATATCAAATGTAGCGCCTCGCCCGCAAGCGACCTCGGCGATGTTAAATGATATCGTCCATTTAATGTCTTGGAAAGTGAACTAAACGGTAAAATCTTTCAAAACTAACGATTTCGTATTGATATATCACATCTAGTGAATCTCGGCGATGTTTGGTTGAGGTTTATCGAGATTTTACTGTATATTAAAATTTCCACCTTAATCATATTTACCTGACATTCTAAAATATGCCTCCAACACATCTCAATAACACACCTCAAATGACTCTTCATTTCACCACTTCTAACACTTAATAAATCTTCCAACGAAAATAATTCGGGGTCGTTAAATAAAAACGTTCGTTCACAATTTAAATAATCTTGAATTGTCTCCGCGAAACGACAATTAAGAATGAAATCTCTCATATAATGCAATCCTATCCTGTAAGTTCTACACGTAGCGAGATTCGCGCTCCTTTTTGCGATGTTTTTGTTGTATTCAAACACTCTAAATAAAGGATCGACGTACATTTGTTCGATTAATCTATAAGAAAAGTTCGAAACTGGGTATCGTGCAAAATCCCATTTTTGTATTATTCTTGCTGGTATGATAGATACTTGATTTGTGTGACATCCAGTACAGAAATATCTACCTAGATAGTGGCAATAACGGAATTTTGATGCGTATTGTGGGGCCACTCGCATTCCACATCCAGCACATCTATAATCTTGTTTCGCCATTAATTGTTTTCGACTAAAATTTAAAAATTAATTATTTTTTTCAAAGCTATTTATTTAAGTCAGTTCTTACATTGGTGCTGGATGTAAAGTAAAAATAATTTGTGGTCTGGGGGGCGCCCAGTCTTGAGTACCCCGTAACGAAATTGTACTAACATCTTGTGAATCATCGAGCCATGTTTTTGGTAGAGGTAAAAGTGCTTGGGGTGCATCTTCTTCGGAAACTATCCACTCCAATTCCGAAGCCCTTAAAAANACCCCGTAACGAAATTGTACTAACATCTTGTGAATCATCGAGCCATGTTTTTGGTAGAGGTAAAAGTGCTTGGGGTGCATCTTCTTCGGAAACTATCCACTCCAATTCCGAAGCCCTTAAAAATATAATTAAAAAAAATAATTTTTTGTTTGAATTTAATCTTTTTTTATTAAAATAAATTACCATTCTTCTTCCTGCACTTCACGATTAATTTTTTTTAATGTTTTATATAGAAACAATGGAAGGTAGTTCATTTCCTACTCAAACGATACGATCACGAAAAATAAAACTACAGTAAGCAATAAAATATGGGAGAGAATGTGAAACCTAATTTGATAAGAACTGATTACTCAGCTTCATGACGTCACGCTGTGGTGTGGTGACACTATAAAAAGGCTACGCAAGAAGAAACTTTCCAATTGGTTTAAGAACACTATTAACATAACACAAACTTGTTTTCTGCGAGAAATAATAAAACTTACATTTTGGTGAATTTAATTTGGAAAAACAGGATTAAGGTTTTCGATAAGATTAATTATGATATCGTTTTATCTAACGTCGATTTGTTAATTAGTTGATTTTTAAATAAGTTAAATAGAGAAATAATACATAAACAAAAGGAAATATTTATAGAATCATTTCAAATTCAATGAAAAATAAAGAGAAATTAAAAAAATAATCATAAGGACTTTTCCGTAAGCTTCAAAATTGATTCAAAATTGTCCAAAAGATACAAAGAATTTAAAAAAGTTAATTGGTGTTTGTAAAAATGACTTAAATCGATTAAAAACGTTTATAGGTTGCTTGATAAAGACAAAAGGAATTAAAAAACATTATATGGACAACATCCATAAGCTTCAAACATTTTTTTTTTTTTTGAAAAGTTTGTTAGTGTAAATCAAAATGGTTCTAATCCACTAACAATATCTCTACGATACTTAACCAGGATGAAAAAATTAAAAAGAAATAGATTTTGATGTTCCAAAACTGCTCCAAAAATACAAGGAGATAAGAAAAGGTAAATGGTGCGTGTCAAAATGGTTCAAACCGATTTGAACATCTTTTATTTGATTAAACTAAAAAAATTTGAACCATTTTGACAAACATAAATCAACTTTTTCTATTTCCTAATATCTTTGAAACACATACTGTTCAGAGGGAAATTTAAATTGCGTTATTTTGAAAAATGTTATTAACAAAAGTTGTTCCAAATTTAATTCTAAATCAACTTTGTTTATAAAAAATTTGAATTTACCACTTATTATTGCGATAATCTCAAAAACCCCGTTTTGGATATTAGTGTACAGCGCCACCTAGTTGATTTATCAAAATTTTTTATTAAAATAATCGATTCTAAATCGCATTTTGAACAAATATTATTCGAAACATTTTTCGATAAAACCAATAACTTTGAAATGTCTTAAAATGTATTGACATTTAAGTACCGTACTGTTCAGAGGGAAATTAAAATTGCGTTATTTTGAAAAATGTTATTAATAAAAGTTGTTTGAAATTTAATTCTAAATCAATTTTGTTTATAAAAAAATTAGATTTTATCACTTATTATTGCGATAATCTCAAAAAACCCGTTTTGGATATTAGTGTACAGCGCCACCTAGTTGAGTTATCAAAAATGTTTATTAAAATAATCGATTCTAAATCGCATTTTGAACAAATGTTATTCGAAACATTTTTCGATAAAACCAATAATAACGTTGAAATGTCTTAAATTGCATTGACATTTAAAGTACCGTACTGTTCAGAGGGAAATTAAAATTGCGTTATTTTGAAAAATGTTATTAATAAAAGTTGTTTGAAATTTAATTTTAAATCAAATTTGTTTATAAAAAAATTTGAATTTATCACTTATTATTGCGATAATGTCAAAAAAACCGTTTTGGATGTTAGTGTACAGCGCCACCTAGTTGATTTAGCAAAATTTTTTATTAAAATAATAGATTCTAAATCACATTTTAAACAAATATTATTCGAAACATTTTTCGATAAAACCAATAATAACTTTGAAATGTCTTAAAATGTATTGACATTTAAAGTACCGTACTGTTCAGAGGGAAATTAAAATTGTATTATTTTGAAAAATGTTATTAACAAAAGTTGTTTGAAATTCAATTCTAAATCAACTTTGTTGATAAAAAATTTTGATTTCATCACTTATTATTGGGATAACATCAAAAAATCCGTTTTGGATATTAGTGTACAGCGCCACCTGGTTGATTTATCGAAAATTGTTATTAAAATAATCGATTCTAAATCGTATTTCGAACAAAGATTATTGGAAACATTTTCCGATAAAAACAATAATAACTTTGAAATGTCAAATTACATTGACATTTAAAGTACCGTACTGTTCAGAGGGAAATTAAAATTGCGTTATTTTGAAAAATGTTATTAACAAAAGTTGTTTGAAATTTAATTCTAAATCAACTTTGTTTATACAAAACTTTGATTTTATCACTTATTATTGGGATAATCTCAAAAAACCCGTTTTGGATATTAGTGTACAGCGCCACCTGATTAATTTATCAAAAATTTTTATTAACATAATCGATTCTAAATCGTATTTTGAACAAATATTATTCGAAACATTTTGCGATAAAAACAATAATAACTTTGAAATGTCAAATTGCATTGACATTTAAAGTACCGTACTGTTCAGAGGGAAATTAAAATTGCGTTATTTTAAAAAATGTTATTAACAAAAGTTGTTTGAAATTTAATTCTAAATCAATTTTGTTTATAAAAAACTTCGATTTTATCACTTATTATTGGGATAATCTAAAAAAACTCGTTTTGGATATTAGAGTACAGCGCCACCTAGTTGATTTATCGAAATTTTTTATTAAAATAAGCGATTCTAAATCACATTTTGAACAATTTTTGACGATTTTGTATTGATATATCAAATCTAGGGCCTCGCCCGCAAGCGATCTCGGCGAATTT